TCTGCTAATTGTCCACGTGAAGCAAATAAATCACCAGGTATATGTTCGGTGAAAAGGAAGAAACCAGTAACAAACCTGTGCTCATATTACGTTTACACTAGCATGAACTTTACGATATTTTCTAGACGGTATTCTAAAACCATTTCTGTTCTATTTGCACTTCAAATCTTACCACTCGATACAGAATATTTTTCCCTTTCGATCTGTGCAAGACAGAGGTCGATGGCTTGTCTCGTGTATGAGCTGGTGGTGAAAACCGCAGATCCGCAGCTATTGAAGTCTCGAAGTTATTCAACTCACAGTCGCACACATTCTATTTTGAAAACGACAGTAGTACAAAAAAGCTTAGTTAATAAAAATACCACTGAGTTTAATACATTTTATATCTGGAAAAGCTAAATATTTTAGACGTTTGAATGGGTTAAGGAAGAAGCAATGATAATTGTGCATGACGAGACGTAGTGTAATGCGGTTAAGGAGAAAAAACTTAAAAAAAACACTGCCACACAATAGGCGTCTTACACGAGAAACCATCTCCGAATCCCGCTACGCTCAGAAGCTGTCCTCTGGTTTATAAGGATTTCTCGAGGTCCTCTTGATTCTTGTCTCTAGAAAATTTTCTTCAAAACCTTTGGAAATAGTACTTCCAGAAAACCGTGGTTTTCGGACTACATTAGTTAAATTAAAAGTATTTTGAAAATCACCGTTAGGACATGGAATATTTTCAATAACATATTCGGATTCAGTGTCGAAAGGCGAATATTCTGAAAAAAAACTAAGGCTTCAAATCAAAATTTTAATTTAATTTAAAATTTAAAAAATTCAACCTTTTTTAAAATGAATGTAGCTCAGCTCGACTAAGAGATGAAGATTCGGTTTAAAAGTGGTTGGATAGAGAATTAAAAACTGAACTAATGCAGGGGGTTGGCGAGATTTGAGTACCATGTCAAGGTTTTCTAGAAGACCTTCAGAAAACCTCCCTTTAATTCCGCTTTAATTTCTCTAGTTTTGAAGTTAAAACTTTTCTAGCGAACTTTTTCGAAGCACTAATGGCCAAAAACAGTCGGAATAAGATATTTCAACACTAGGGACGATGTTGGCTGCTACATAAGCGATGTTCATCTTCATGTAGTCAACTGCTATAGGTCACGATGATCCTTGTTCTCTTTTCAGTTCGACAGACGATAGCGTGTTAATATCAATAAAATATCACACCATTTCTTCAATAATAGAGGCTCAGTCGGTCAGTCGAAAGCCGAAAAAATGTAACTTTCCGACGTTCTGTGCCAACATTGCCGAACTTTTTTGGACAATCTGTCACAATACAAGACGCCATAATACTTAGAAATATTTTCAGAACAAGTTAGAAGTGAGAGAGACACTTTTTAAAAAGGCGAAGAAGTCTAGTCTAGACATCGTCTGGTATTGAAATTTCGCCAAAGCCCTACGTTTGCTATTCACCCACGTTTGAACCGAATCTCCATCTCTCAGTCGAGCTGAGCTGCATAGCAACAGTTCCTGGTGAAACAACCTAGATCAACTTTCTGGTGCAGGACGGCTATTCAGTATGGTCGATAACGTATGCGCTATTCATTTTCGAAAACACTACCAGATATCGGTCTTGTGACTTCTAGAAAATTTAATGCCCTGCTTAAACGACCAAAAAGATCGAGCACTTGCTTGACCCCATTTGGCGAGCATACTCTAGGCTGTTTATCCAGGAGAAAAAATGAAAATGTTTGTACTTACAGTTGTTTTCGATCCCTAGAAAACCTACTTGGCAAAAATCGTTTTTAGGCCTTTTTCCGTTATGACGATATTTCAAAGTCTCATCTATCATCTGACGAAAATCGCAGCTCTTAACCGTTTTTCGCTTTTGAGTTATTCAAAAAATGACCGAGCACACTATGTTACTGACAGACGGTACATTTAGAATAATATTTACAAATAGAACAAATATCACGATACATAGTCATACATGTCAGCATTTGTCAGACAGAGTTGCATTTTATACGCATCTTCGCTCGCAGAATAATAGGCTTTGAGACGTTCAGTTACTGTAAAACCAAATGATTTATAAAGTAAATATGCTTTCTCGTTTGACACATTCACTTCTAACGATATGTATTTTGCATTTGATAAACGTGCTTCGTTGATAAGATAATCGAGCATCATTCGTCCGAAACCTTGTTGCTGTCGTTCTCGTCTGATACAAATATTGGCGATATGAGATGAGTCGGCATCAATATATTGTACTGAATAACCGATGAGACCCTTATCATCTTCCAGCACCCAGCAATTGCCAGTTGATGGCTGACTTGCTTCAATGAAATCTTCAGCAGTCCAAGGATACTGCGGCCATGTAATATATTCAATTTCTTCTACCTCGTCTAAATCATCGCTTTCCATTCGACGTATAAACACGTTCATTATTGTCTTGTACTCTTCATTCTAAATGTTCTCGAATGTTCTGTTAGCTGTCTCATATTAAATTGGATCTTTTTGAGTGCGATAGTGAGTTGTTCACTTTATTCATTTATGAGTGAGTCATTTATGAGTCAAGAAAAACAGGAAGGAAAAAATTACGTAATTGTTTTGAAATTACACTGAATAGTTGTTGAAGCTAGATGTATCTGCATTGTTATATTTTGAAAATGATTGTAAGAGTGTTCCGCATTTGATAACATCGTGTTAAGTCGTGTAAATGTGATAGACGATGTAACGATAAATTATCGAAATGTCAAAAGATAAGCGTTAAGATAGATGATGTGACTGTTGTTGATGCTGATAAAAGAGACCTATTAGATTATGAAAAACTAAAAATGAAAACGTCAAGAAAATAGTTTTCACAACGAAAAAGGTGATATATCTCTTATTATTTATATTGAAAAAAGTGTTCTTGACGCTGATCGTTGTTGTAAAGTAGAAGACGGCAACGACGAAATGGTGTTTGTAACTGATAGAAGTGATCGAAGTATTGGATGATAGAAAGATCGAAATGGTAGGTGTAGTCGATAATAATAAAACTGATAAAAATTTATGATTATTATTTAGTAGCAATCATGGTTGAATGTAAATTTATTATTTACAAATAATAACAGTTTAGCAGCAATGTAATGTGAATCATTAAAGAGTATAATGAGTCATCAACGATGAATCATCCACTGACTATTGAAATTTAGTCACCTATTTGATAGATGCAACGGCTTTTACTGCAATTCCATTCTTGGAGATGGAGAGTATGACACTTGATAATCTTAACAACATTTTAGACACATATAGAATGACAGACAAGATCCTTGTTACAACATTTGACATAATAGATCCATACACTGTGAGATCACAAAAAGAGTCTGTGTATTCATTATGTAGACTATTGGCATGACGGTACACATTAAAATTGTTAATATTCTTAATGGATTGGCAAAAGCTGCGCTCCACAGCTTCTGCGTTGCTTCAGAAGATAAAAATTATCCATGAACAAGAGCAATGAGTCATAAAACACAGTGATACAAGTATTGATAAATGTATATGAGAGAAACGTAACTTTCTAGTACAATCACTTGTTTAGATATGTTTCTATAATAACTCCGGTTACAAGAGGCTCGTTTGTGCAAATTTTTTCCTGTGCTTTGCCTAGTATTTTGTCCACTTCCACAAAAATTTTCTACTCGATACGTCCTTTCGTTGCAAAGTTATGGGACTCGAAAGTTGAAAAAACTTAATTTTCTGATGACTCATCATCTGAAAACTGAATTTTTGATTATATA